ACTGGGATTGTAATACATGTTTAATCAGTGTAGCCCTTCCTCCCACGGATAATAGCCTACCCTGCCACCCCTGAATTTTGTGCAGAAGTCTAGTAGCCATGTCTGCAAAGAAACTAATCTTCTTCCTTCCACAATATATAGGACAACCAAGATATTTGAAAGGAAAGTGGTGGTGCTTGTAACCCGAATTTTATCCCTTATAGATTGAGAGGTGTGAGTATGGGTGAGAAAGAAACTTTTTTCCTTGCTAATTTCCTGGCCCGAGGCCTGTTCATATTGTTGCAACTTTTTCATAATCATGTTCATTGACCTCTTTTGACAAGAGGAAAAAATGACTATATCATCAGCATAGCAAAGATGGTTAACTTGAGGACCTTTCTTACTCATAGAAAAACCCACATAACCTTCTTTTTCATGTAGGCAATTAAGAGAACTTGAAAGAGCTTCAGCGGCTATGACAAAGAGAGATGGTGAGAGTGGATCACCCTGTTTTAGGCCCCTAGTTGAGTGAAAAAAACCGTGTCTAGAGCCATTGATTAGAATGGAGTACCAAACATCTGCCACTAGCCTGTATATAATGTTAATGAAGTCTTCTGAAAATCCCAACTTTCTCATGGTGGCTGTTAGGAAATTCCATGATATCTTATCATAGGCCTTTGTCATAACTAATTTGATCACCATATTGCCTCCCGTATTCCTTTTGCTAATATCCCTGACGATTTCCTGAGTTAACAGGATGTTCTCAGTTATTAGTCTGCCTTTCATAAAACCTGATTGGTTTCTGAAATGATTTTAGGAAGCATAGTGGATAATCTGATGGTGACAATTTTAGACGCTATTTTGTTGGAGAAATTACTTAGACTGATAGGTCTAAGCTGGGAAAAAGAACTAGGGGCTTCTACTTTTGGAATTAGTACCAAGCAGGTGCTGGTATAAAACTTAGTCATTCTTTTGCCCCTAAAGAAATCTTGAACCATATTTGCAACATCTACAGCTATTATGCTCCAACAGGATTGATAAAAACACCCATTAAACCCATTCGGGCCAGCTGCACTGTTAGGATTTAGAGCCATGACTGCATCTTTTACTTCTTCATCAGATGGCAAAGCAACCAGGAAAGAGTTATTTTTTGCAATAATATGACTCTGAAGCTTGTTCAAAATCCTGTAGTTAGTACTTTGGATAGGTTGGGTAAATAGGTTCCTGAAGTACTAAACAGCAGCTTCAGAGATATGTTTATTCCCCTCGACCCAATTACCTTCTTCATTTTTTATTCTGTGCAGATAAGATCTTTTTCTCCTCTGCCTCATAGTGCTGTGGAAGTATTTAGTGTTATTATCTCCTTCAAACTCCCATTTCACTCTAGCTTTCTGCTTAAGGAGATTGTTCTGCATTTTCATCCAACTAATTTGCTCAGCATAAAGGTTGTGCAAATTAGTTCTGTTGACATCGCTATTATCCGCCCCATAAGTTGCTTCCATGGCTTCAATTTTTTCTTCTAATTCTTTGGTCTTATCAAACACATTTCCTATTGTGTTTCTAGAACAGTAGCTGAGGGAATTAGCAAGCGTCTTTAGTTTCTGTTGCATAATCCACATAGGATTACCTATGACCTCTTCATCCCATGAGTCTTTCACAATCTTCTGAAAATCTTTTTGCTCGGTCCAGAAGCTCAAAAATTTAAAATACTTGATGGGAGGAACATCTTCTATAGAGCATGTCATAAGGAGCATGTTGTGGTCAGAGCCTGTTCTAGGCAGATGTCTTACATTGATTAATGGAAAGGTGGCAGACCATTCATCATTATAAAAGACTTTGTCTAGTCTCTCTCTAATCCTCTTCATCTTCCTTCTGTTATTTGTCCATGTAAAGTCATTACCAGAATACCCAACATCCAATATACCACATTCATTCATACAATTGATGAAATCTAAGCTCTTCCTCAGCCTGTGAGGTCTGCCCCCCTCTTTCTCTGTGGCATTCACGATACAGTTAAAATCTCCAAAAATTGACCATGGCCCTTGAAATTGACTATTCATCTGTTCCAAACTTTCCCATAATTTCTTCCTTCTTCTTGATTTAGATTTTGCATACACTATAGTTACCGAACAAACTTCAAGAGAGCTAATATGTTGGATAGATAAAGTAAGATGCTGCTTATGATTGAAAATCTCTGTACAAGTGTAACTAGAGTCCCAAAAGCACCAGATCTTTCCATTGAAGTTTGCCAAAGCTCCATGCATTCCCAGTTTCCTTTTATAATTCTCCAACTGTGAACTATGTAAGAAAGGCTCTTGTAAAGCAACAAAGCTGACTTTGTGCCTTTTTTTGAGTTTGATGAATCTGTCAAAAGCACCTTTTGACTCTACCCCCCTAATATTCCATATGATTGTACTAATCATCGGAATAATTAGGATTGGTTTTGTTTGTTGGATTTCCCTCTGCCCCTAGTAATAGGAGTAGAAGGTGGATATGTTTTGAAAGACTTCTTTTTTATTGTGGGAGTACCTCTTGGTGATAAACAACATTTATCAATTGTTTCCTTCATTTGCTCAACTACTTCTTCCATGTGGTTTTCCTCTCCAGGAGCAAAATCCTCAGCTAAACTTTCTAACACTTCCTCATCATCATCAGATTGAAGATGTTGACTGTTTCTCTTGAGTAATTGCCGTTGATTAGTACCAAATCTTTCTCTAGATTCTGTTTGTACCAAAGTGTTGTCTGTTGCCTCTATAGTCAATGTACCTTGTTGCAAAGGCACTTGACCTATTGAGTTAACATTCTGATCATTTTGTGTCACCTGCAGGTGTTCCTTTTCAATGTGTTCATCTTGTTCCTGTGTCAAGTTCCGGAAGACATTTTGAGTCTCAATAAGAGGATCTTGGGGTGCTGAAATACTAAAATTCTGCAATCCCTCCTCTTGACTTGTCACTACTACTACACATTTTCCATGGTTGACATTCTTTGTTCCAAGTGAACTCACACTTTCCACCATATGATTTTCTAGTTTGCCATGATTTTGTGTGTTACTAGTTCCAGGTGCTTTGGAAGCTCTTTCCACTAGTTTTTGTTGGTTTGATCTCTTAGAGTTCTTCTTCTACTTGACAATTTTAAGGGCATTTCTCTGTCTCCTTTTCCTCCTTTTTTCCTTGTCCTTCATAGCTTTCTTAGAAGTTCCTGCATGTGTAGCAGCTATCTGATCATTAATATTTGCTATTTCAATTTGTGTCTCCTGAACCTGTGCTCTCTGTTCTTCTATTGGTTTAGAAACTTCTTTCTGAGCAATGTTATCTTCCTTGTGCTTAGATCCTTCCTTTTGTAAATCATCTTTCTCAGCTACTATATTCCTCTGTCACCTTGTTAGTTTCTGCTTGTTTCTTTTTTTCCAAAAATCTACATTGCACTATTGAGTGTCCCAGCAATCTACAATGTTTGCAATATTTTGGGATAGCCTCATATTCAATTTTTTGTGCAAAACCTTTAAGACCAGTGTTATCATCTTCTAAACCCACCCAAACTTGTTCTAGCTGAGGTTTAAGAAGATCAATTTCCACACGAACCTTAGCCATGCTAGGTCTAGTTCTCCCTCTAGTAGCTGTATCTATTGCCAAGGGAATACCAACAGGTGCTAGGATCTGTTTAATATAGTCCCATTTATGACAATTCATAGGGAGTTTAGGTAATAAAACCCAAACTGGAGCATAATGGGCATCTTCCTCTGGTTTCCAATCGGGAGTCCATTTAGTTAGCCACATTTCCTTTCCATCTACTTCGATTCTCCTTCTAAATCTCACCGTATTATAATCTTCTTCATTATAGAGTTCAATAAAAACATTATGTAGATCATAGACACCAATTTTAGCATTACCTTTTAACGGAATCTTCTCAGCAAAAGCTGACCTAATTTTCTCAATTTGGGGCCTCACCCTTATGAATCGTCCCACAATAAGATATTTGCATTCTTCTGCGGTTCTGCCATCACTCCGTAGTAGTCCTTGGCCTTGAAGATCACCGCTGGCATGCCATTGTGAGTCGAGGTTCGAGCAAGAACGGGAGGTCGATTTGGGGCAGAATTGATATTTGGTATTACAGAAATTACATTAGCATAAGAGTGATTGGACTGATTCCCCACGGTAGATATTGTCGCAGCTGTGGGGGGAGCAGTTTGGTTGACCGGACGCGCCGTTAGGTCGCCGTCCGGTGGCTCCATAGACTGGAGCGTGACGCGCTAGTCGTTAGGAAATTACCGTTTGAGAGAGGGCATAACCTAGCAAAATTACTGACACTATTTTTTTTCTTCCCCCCTCGAACGGAGGGTTTATCAGAAAACTTTCTACCTTTACAAGTTAGGGGTAAGGTCTACATATACACTACCATCTCAAACCCCACTTGTAAGATTATACTGGGTTTATTGTTGTTATTGAGGTTTATAGTTGGAATTTCGTTTAAAAAAAGACATTTGTTTATAGTTTTAGGTATTTAAGGACCTTTTAAGAAAATTGTTTTTAATATTTCATAACTAACTAGATGTAAGTAAATTTTTGTAGTTATGTCTTGTTCTTAATTAAACTAAACTGGCTAGGTTTTGATCTGCATATTTATATATAGTTGTATCTTTTTCATTGCCATATATTTTCTTTATATTTTATGATGTGACGAGATTGATTGATGTGTTAAGATATTGTCCAGAGAGGCAAAATGCAAACAAATTTAATCCAATTGGAAACCAAACACGACTGAATTGTACTACAAACATATAGGAGGTTTCTTATAAGATCTACTAAAAATTGACCGCATGACATAATCACAGTAAATACTCTTGTATTAACTGTTCATCCATTTTCGATCCTGCAATATCTTATCGTTGTCCCAAAGTATGTAGTCTCTATCTTATGTTACCATGGTCATGATTTTGGTGTTCAAAGGAAGGATTCTTGTGAGATATAATCTGTACTAAAGATAATCTTGATTCCAACAGCCGGACTGTTTTTGGTGTAATAATGCAGATAAGAAGGCACTATGCTGTTAAGGTCAGTGGAGTAGATATAACACCTTATCCTGTTAAAGGAGGTAAAGAGACCACTTTCAACATTGCTGCAACTACAGGTAATGGCTGATTACGCATTCTGTCGTTTTTGTTCTTTTAATTTTTTCCCTCTCTTATCTAAAGTTAAGACCTTGTATTTAGTCATTTATATCCGTAAGAAGTTAAAGGTAATTGACTTGTTGTTAAGTGCTGACTTTGGAAATAATGGTACTACCTCCTGTATTAGGAGTTAGGACCGGACAATGGTGGCACCAGTGCTATGCAAAAATGAGTCTGGCTTGTTTAAAATTATTGAAGTGGTGCATCACCAAACAAAGTTGGATAAGGGAAGAGTGGAGGAAATAAAGTTAATGTTATCTGTGAATAAAATTCGGGCAGTAATCAGTTTGTAGTGTTGTGTTAGGCCTTTGTCCCTTTTTCCTTTTAATTAGAGACGCTGTTTTACCTTTGTCATAATTTTAAAATTTATTAGTAAAATGATGTTGGTAAACTTGTTTTCTTACTTCATTTTGATGCTTGGAAAGGCAAACTTTTATGTTTGGCATGTTGGTTCGAATGGCTATGATACATACCTGAGGGGAAATTGTTGGGCACGACTGTAAAAAAAGTTTGAACCTGGAAAATTGAATTTATTGGGATGCAAATAAAATATTTTACTTGGTTATGTACTTATGGTCAACTGTCCATGCAATCACTTTACTATGGAATATATATCTCCAGCATTTGCTTTCTTTAAGTGCTTGCATTGCTTCATATTACCAACAATGCACTTAATCTGAGTCTGTATTAGGTATTGTTTTCCCCATTTTTTCAGCTTTGTATTATGCATGTGGGGGGTGGGGGTGGAATGAGAATAGTTTATGTGAGATTTGCGATATACAGGAATCTCTGACCTCTCAAAAGTAGATGTCAAGTGTGACAACTGCATAGTACTGGAATAAGCATAGTACTGGAATAAGAGCTCTTTGGTAGAAAAATGACTCAGTGAGTTTTCTCTTGCAGATGAAAATATCAGTGGTGGAAAGTTGGTGATTGACGTCAAGTATTTCTTCCTACACGTCCACCAAGAGTCCCATGACATCTGTAAAGAGACATCTTGCCCAGTTTATGGTGATTTTGTGCTTTCTCACTCTCAAGCTTTACCTGGAATTACTCCCCCCGTAAGTCATCTTTCCTGTTATCTTGTTATCTTGTCATGAAGCTTCATTCTGCATAACTTTCCTTTATAAAGAGGTGTTCGTCTTCCTCTTTCTTGGATTTTTCAGACTTTAAAATTTTCAAGCACTAATCTGCTGTGCCTCTATAGTGAAAGGAATGTTGAAATCATATATGTTCTAAAATCACAGCTTATAGTTCTGTTATGAAACAAATCATTTATGTTTTTTAAGTCATAACTTATAATTTTGTTACGCACTTGTGGTAAACAACCTCAGTTTTGGTTCTCTTTGCTTTATATATGTTGCACCCCTTAAAGCACTTGAATATCCTGATTTTGTAGAGGTTTACTTCCCTTCGGTCTTTCATGATATTCTGTTCTTCATCGAAAGAAAGCTTAGATAAAGTTTCTTCTATGCGATTCTTTTATTCAAATGTTAATTTTAACTGATTATGGTTGACGATATTGCCGTTGTACGACCTCCCTAATATCCTTTTGTTTGAAATTGGAGGAACTTGTTTTTGCATGTTCCTCTTGAACCTAACAAGAATAATATTATTCAGGGTTCAGGGTTCTTTCTTTCTTATTATAGCTAGTTATTTTAATTTTCTATTAGTGGCTTTGAGGTTATCAGCTCTTTATGGTTTGAGTACGACACAATTTATTTAAATTAGATATCTAAAATTAACCGTTCATAAAAAGAAATTGTTCTGTGGGATCAAGTGGATTTCATATTCACTTATGTTACCTATTGTCAATTGTTGCTTCATTTCCCTGATATTCAATTGTGTGAATTGGAATAAAATGTTATATTGCCTGCTTTATCGAACCTAACTAGGGTTGCTTTTATAGAGGGCTCATATACTCTTACGATGAAAATAGTAGATGGAAGCAATCAAGAATTGTCATGCATAACCTTTGGCTTCAGTATTAGTTTAGTTGCAGTTGCTGAGTCCATAGCAGTAGTAGATAGTTAAGTAGTTGTCACTATGAACCATGAACTAAGTGTGTCATTGTGCTCTACAAATCATGTAAATGAGCTTACTTTGCAAAACTTTGTCCCTCTTGGTTTCAGGTGTAGAAACCTTGCTTTATATGAAGTCTTATCTCAGTTTCTCTTTAGTAGATTAAGTACTTTAATGCCAGAGGTGAGATCACATGCTCTTAAAATTTTCATCTTTAAATGTGAAGCAAGTAGTTGAAAGCCAAATTTAAATTAGAAGCATTTCCTTTTCTTCTTTTGTACCATAGTGTTTTCGGACAAAGTTTTAAAGTTCTAATAGTAATATTAGCTTTATATTGGCAAAGTTAATTCAAGTTAATAAAATGTTAGCCATGTGTTTATAATATGCTACTTTAGATCTTGTTATGAAAAATTATTTATCAATACGAAGCTTTGAATAGTTTAATTTAAAGTTTAAAAATATTCTTATTGTTAAAAAGTGAATATTTTTTTTTTATTTTTCTTTATAAAGATTTTGTACCTTTTTTATCGTGTAAATTTATGTAAAGATTTAGCAAAATTATAAAAAATAGTAGATATGGATCCATAATTTTAAAAATATAATGAGTTCAATATTAAGAATATTAACTGTTGAACTCATAGAATTTAAATTCTAAATCCGTCAATAATTTCTTTAATTTAAATTCTAAATTCTTCAATAATTTCTTTTTTTGGTAAAAGGGAATTTCATATATATATATATATATATATAATAATAATAATAATGATAATAATAATAATAATAATGATAATGATAATAATAATAATGATAATAATGATAATAATATCATTAATAATGATAATAATAATAATAATAATAATGATAATGATAATAATAATAATAATAAGAAGAATAATTACACTACAGAATATTGGTTACTCAGGGGATATTGCAATCCCCCTAAAGCAAACATGTTTTTTTCCAAGGTATCAATATTACAAGCCAAAATATGTTTAGTTACTTCAGTTCCTAGGATGTCTGCCCAAAATAATTCATTTGCAAACATCGGAGAAACTTGTAGTATAGTAGTTCTTCCCAAAAAAATTGTTTTTGCTTTTTCCTTTGCCAATGCATCAGCCATCCTATTCTGCTCCTTGTAGCTATGTTTCACTACTATTCTGGCCATCCTTTAGATCAACAACCTACATTCACATATAATAGTATCATAAGTTATATTCCCTGTGATTAGCATTCTTATTACCTCTGATGAATCCGTGGCTACTTTCAGTAGTATTAAGCCATTTTGTTCTGCAATTTGGAGTCCCTTAAGCAAGGCAATTAATTCTGCAAGGGTATTGGTGGTGTGTCCTAAATACCCCCCCTCCAATTCCCTTTGCGTCTGGGTTACGTTGCCAGATTGGGGATTTAGGCTTTCTTGGAGTATGATTCTAGTTACAGTATTTGGAGATTAGGACTTTTGCCCATAGGCTAGAGTTATGAGAGGCTATGTTATTTCATTCAGCTTTATGTAAGCCCACACCTCCATGAGCTTTCTGATTAGTGACTTTGTCACAATTGACTAGATGCATTTTTATTTTATTTGGAGTAGTACCCCAAATAAAATTCCTTTGGATGCTATCTATTTACTTGGTAGTTTTGGTAGGCAGCTTGATGTATTGCATGACATGGCTGGGTAAACTGCTAAGGGAGGCTTTGGCCGGAATAATTCTTCCAGTCATATTTAGACAATTTGTTTTCCACCCAGACAACTTGGATTGTATATTATCTATTATGAACTGGAAGTCACTATTGTAGGGTCTCTTGTGGAACATTGGGAAGCCCAAGTATTTACCAAATGAGGTTGTAGCTTGAATGGAAAGAATACTTGTAAGGTTCTCCATAGTGTCAGGCTTTGCAATTAGAAGAGAAAAACACCCTAGACTTAGTGAGATTGATTTTCTACCCAGATGCTTCATTGAAGGACTGCAGTATGGTGGAGATTGTATTGCAGTTTCTGATGTTTGCCTTTGCAAACATGGTTAGGTTATCAGCAAAGAAAAGATGGGATATCTTTGGGTCAGACCTACTAATACTGATGGGAAGCCATTTCTTGTCATACACAGCCATGTCAATAAGTCTTGAGAGTCTCTCCATGCACATGTATGGAGAGATGGGATCCCCTTGCCTAATTTCCTTTGAAGGTTTGAAAGTGTTAGTTTGCCACCATTTACTAGAATAGAGATGGAGGAAGAGCTGATGCAAGATATGATTAACTTAGTTAGTCCAGGTGGGAAGTAGATTGCCTGAAGGGTGTCTCTAATGAAGGACCATTCCAGCCTGTCAAAGGCTTTTTCTAAGTCAATTTTGAGGATCATGTGAGCCCGGTTCCCTCTCATCTTGCCCAAGTGAGGATGTATTCTTGGACAATAATAGCATTGTCAGATGCCCTCATGTTGGATAAGAAGCTGGCCTGGGTAGGGTCAATGATGTCAGGGATGAGTGGTTTAATTCTATTAACAATGACCTTTGTAATAGTCTTATAGATGGTATTACAAAGTCCTATAGAACTGAAGTTTTTGAGCATGGTAGCCCGGGGGCACTTGGGGATGAGGTAGAGCAGGGTCTCATTCATGATTTCATGCATGGAGTGGGTGTCAAAACATGATCTACAGAAGTCAATCACTGATTGCCCCATAATGCTCCACTATTTTTGGTAGAAGAAGGGGTGTAAGCCATCAGGATCAGCAGCTTTAAAGGGTTTGAAGGAGGAGATGGCCATTTTGATCTCACTTTCCTCTAAGGGTCTGTCCAGGCTGTCTCTTTGATAGTTGGAGAGAATACGGGTCAGACCTACGAGGCTGGTTGTGTGGAGAGGGGCTTAGGTGAAGAAATTGAACATTTAATGCAGACTTTTCAGTAGGGGTGGGCGTTCGGTACTTCAGTTCGGTATTTAAGAATTACGGTTCGGTACTTCGGTATTTGATTTATCAATTGTGTATATCAAATACCCTGCCAAAGTAGTTCGGTATTTCTTGTTTGGTTTGGTACGATTTCGGTTTATCAATTTTCATAACAAATTTGCATGATAAATTTCTATAAGATAATAAGAAATGCGACAACAATAATGCTAATAATGCATTAAAGAGTGATGTACAACTTTACTAGAGCATTTCCCGTAGTTGCCTTATTTACATATAAGATTGAGGCACCCAAAATTTTTGAAAATTTTGGAACGAGAAGTATTTGATCATTACAGCCATTGAACAATAAAATATATAGAACATACCAAAATTTAATAGAGAAAATATATAAAACGAGAGGGTAAAAAGAGTTGGATGGAAAAGCACGATAACTTCTTAGGTAGGAACATATTCCCCATTGCTTAAGTTATTTTTTTTTAATTCCAACTCTGGCTTTATCCAGTTTTCCTTCTATGAGAAACAAATATTTCATTAATACAATCCAGAGGCACTTTCATGCCATAGAATCAATAAAGATGCAAGCAACAGAGTCTAATAGTGGAACATGATTTCTTCACTTCTGTTGTAAGCTCAAAATTGTGCACTCCGCTCTAACGTATGGCAATGGTCATAAGCTCTGGCTAATGCCGATTTTCCATGACAAGTGATGGAATTCTACAAAATGCATGCCTTTTCAGAAATATGGCTTCTTTAACCAAATTAGATTCATGTTCCCTTGCTGATAACATGCAAATTAAGCTTAATAGCATATTACTCTAGCATTAAGTAAACAAATGACACCGAAACAGGAGAAGTGGGGAAAATAAATACTAGCACATCTCTAAAGATTAGGGAACCATTGCTTAATTAAAACTAGGATAAACACTATATTTAACATATGCTATTTAACATTTAGTAAAAGAAATCAGTATTTCGGCTTAACCAAAATAGCGAAGCACCGATGTCTTAATACTAAGGACCGTACCAAAGTACCAAACTTTTGAAAACTCTATACCAAATTAATACCGAAGTATCGAAGAATCGAAACCGAAGTACCGAATTAATTCGGTTCGGTCCGGTTTTTCGATTTTTCAAATTTTATGCCCAAGCCTATTTTACAGTCCTTCAAAATTGTACGACAAAAGAGAAGACTTGTAATGATCCAACCGGTCGTTTTGAGCTTTAACGTTCCATTCTGTGGTTTGAGATTTTGAGTAGCTTCATATTATGTATTATGACTTGCGTGTATGGTTGGTTTCGTCTTTCGAGCGGTTCGAGATTGATTTGGAAGAATGATTCTCGTTTTAGAAGTTTTAAGTTGGAATAGTTGACCAAAATTTGACTTTTGAGTAAACGGACTCGGAATCTGGTTTTAATTATTCCAATAGGTTTGTATTTTGATTTTGGACATGCCCACAAAGTTTGGTTAAATTCCGATGAGTTTTGGATAAGTTTGGGTTGTATGATGATTGCTTTCAGTTTCGACGTTGATTTGAGCATAAAGGTTACCATATTGAGCAAACGACCTTCGCTTCGTGTTTCGACTAAATCATTATATCCGTATCATAATTTTGGAACCATAGGAACTGGAATCATCAATTTTTGACATCGTATGAGGAATTTATGATCATTTTACTAAGAATTGGGTTGCAAGATTTTGCAGATTAATTACGAAATTGTCACTGAATTCGTATTTAAAAATCTACATTATTTTCAAATATTGAAACCAACATATCTCCTTCGTTACAAGGACAAATGGAGTGATTCAAAAGTCTCACTGGACTGGAATTTCTCAAGGAATCCATTGGAGGCATCAAAAGCGAGTTTCGGGATCGTTTGACACAAGAAACGAGATAGAACAGCTGGGTAGAAGCATATAACGTCGAGAGTTTGGTCATTTGGTCATATTTTGAGTTGGGGAGCTCGGTTTTGGGCAATTTTGGAGGCGATTTTCACCACATGGATTAGGGTAAGTCTTTTATACTTGCTTTTGGTTATATTTTATGAATCCATCTTTGTTTTTGGCATTTGATTGATGATTTGAAAGTGAAATTTGGGGGGTTTTGTCTAAACTTTTATAAAGTAAATTTTTGAGTTTTGAACTTCGATTCGGAGTCGGATTTGAGTGAAACTAGTATGGTTGGACTCGTAATTGAATGTGTT